GTCCGGACTCAAACTGGTCCTGCAGTAGTACAGGCATCCAGACACCAACTATTCTATTGCCTGCCTAGTTATCTTCTACCTCGGGCTCCTCCCACAGATGCACTATCATCTTATTAGCCCAATCTGCTGTGCTGCAGTTCCATGGTAGATTTTGCCTGATGATTGCATGATGCATGAAACTCCGAGTTGTTGTTGTTGTTGATTTTTATTTTGCTTCGCAAGGCCAAACGGGCAATGGTGCCCAATTCTATGGAAGCGAATTTCAAAAGGGAGAAAGCTACGGGGAGAGAGAGAGAGAGAGGGAGAGAGAGAGAGAGAGAGAGAGAGAGAGAGAGAGAGAGAGAGGGGGGGGGGGGGGAGGGAGGGAGGGAGGGAGATGATAAGCAATTTTGGAGCGTCAACAGAGCGATTTTGCAGTGTCAATAGAGCGATTTTGAAGCGTCAACAGAGGGAAGTGCAAAATGAGATCTTGGTAGCTTTGTTGTTGAACGGTTTTAGAATTAATAGCTCCATCGAAGATGGTATTGAGCACTTTTATCCAGTGGATCGCTACCTGCTTTTGTACATACTTGTATATGTGCGAAATAGCGTACGCATTGTGTGCATGAAGGGGGTTACATCAACAAAGTGCGTGGTGTCACGTTCTCTTTCTGTGAATCCGTGTGAGTTATTATGGTAGGGTTATGGATGTCTGCGCGCGAGTGACCAAAGAAAGAGAGAAGGTGAAATCAGCAATGGAGAGTATGCTCAGATGCTACAGACAATCAGTGCCCCAGAGCCAGTTGCTGTGACGCAAGTGGCATTGGACCTTGGTCTTCGTCTTGCAGACATAGGCATTTGACATGCCTACATGACATGCTTTGTCGCGCTTGTACTAGATATGGAGTTAGGGCTTTCCGTACTGCCGCTCGCAGCTGGCTGGTTGCGCCACGTGATGCGATCTGCCAAACAGGTGCTATGGTTTAGGTACATTGAGTCACAAGCTTTGAGATGCAGGACTGGTGGACTGGTGTAGCTCAGGAACCATGTGAGCTAGTGGTCTATTCCATTCGTTCACTACTCCATTTGTACGCGATGGGCGGAGAACGTTGGGGGACGTGGGGGCAAGTCAGACAGCAGCTGATGCTGGTTTGAGCGTCGTGTTGTGATCGTGGGGACGAAGCACAATTCTGCTTCCTGCCTGTCGGCATGAGGTCACAAAGATCCGCAGGTTGCCGCAGGCGTATAAGATTGTACGCATTTGTCAGAGCAGACACATATGATGGCGGGCGGCTGGCCTCCCGAGGATACCTTTTAAAGAGGCTCAACACCAGCCACGGCCTTCTGCTGTACCGTGCGGAGGATTAGCAAGTGGGAGGTGGCTGCACCTACCCGCACTACTGCTAGTACTGGTGCCTACTCAAGTACGAAGCCTCTGTACTTTGGTATGCGACCTTGGAGACCAAGGAATCGCGATGCCCGCCGTGAGAATGCCAATCTGGTAACAGCCCGAAGAGTTACAGAACACTATACATCTCACAGTACGATGAATCAAGGCCTTTTACTAGATCAAGGAGGTTTCCAATTTCGTGAACATTGTCTCCAGATGATTGCTTCAGCAAGCATGAAACTCGAGTAGAGACTGAACGTTCTAATTCACTGGAGTTTCGTTAAGTTTACTAACTCCACAACGATAAACTGAAAACAAATGATAGCTCAAAAGTCTATAGATCCTGTTCTTCTTGCGCAGAAGCAAGGATCTAGTAATATGCTACCGACCCGGTCGGCATTTGGAGAGTTGTCGACAAGCCCTCCGAGAATTTATTTTCGAATCCTTGGAGGGCTTGTCGAAAACTCTCCACATGCGGAAAGGTCGGTGGCATATGTGTGTCTGCATGTTCATGGTCCGGTACCTTTACAATGGTATTCGCCTCCCTGTATCGCCGCAGTCGCACCAACCTCTTCTTCACATTCGTCTTCCTGTTGCGGAATTTTGGTCTTTTTACACCACTCAGCCATGTGTAGGGTGAGGCGTTTCTGAACAAATTGTAACATTCACCGGTCGTGTCATTGACTAATGAACTCACTGTGATCTTCCTAAAGCTGCATTCTATAGTATTGTTTAATAATTGTGCTTATTGTACTCGACTGTCTCTCTCTCTAGCTCCCTCCAGCCTCTCCCCCCCCCCCCCCCTCCCCGATACTTGCCACCTTGATTCCCACTACGCACAATCCCCATCACAATTTTTACCACCCTAGCCCTAGGTCACAATGCAATGCAGCACAAATCTATACTGATGTGTTGCCAGAGAATCGCACTATTCCTCTACCCTATGCTCTATACTCTCAACATCTCTTTCCTCTTATAATCACGCTGATTTTTGTCGCCTCCTTTTCCTCGCGCTATTGGGCGCTTTCGATTACACGCATTTCGGTCAATTCTAGAATTAGTTATTGTTGATGTACAGTTCGATTTAATACACAAAAAGTGACAAAATCCGTCGTTAGAATTGATTTTATCCAATTCCGTCGAATCCGTCAATTCTGAAGAGAGGGCGGAATTTCTCTAATTCTGGCGCCAGAATTGCACAGTCCGTGTGTTACTGGTCTGGTCATGACTCAAGCGCGCGAAGAGCCTCCCTGGCCGGCGTGTGCGCGATGCTGGGTCCACGTGCGCGCGAGGGTGTACGTGATCTCTTTTTTACGATTCATCAATTGTGTTTGTGACATGACATGAATAAAATGCGTTGTGAATTTCAGTCGTTCGTTTACAAGGCCGGAATCCGCTCATTCTGGTCATTCCAGAATTTAAAAAAACCAGTTCCAGAATTGTGTAAACGTGTAATCGAAAGCGCCCATTGAAATGTTGTACCCCCATCACAACTGCCCTCTTTTCTCAAGACCCTCCGTATAATAATTATTCTAGTGATTGTTAGTCTTGGTCATATGCTGTCTGATGAGTGTTTCACATGAAACTCCGAGTAACAGCGGCAAGAGATTTTTTTGCCTCATTGCTGTGTAATCATTGCATATCTTTTTTAAGTAAAAGTGGGGAGGCTTCCTGCGGTTTCATAAGCAGTTCGGAGTAGAGCCTACACGCTCTCTTCCATAGACACTGCAATAGTTCAACTCATTTCACCATAATCATTCCAACGTTTCGGCAAATTGCCTTAACAATCAGGTTCACAATGGTGTGCAAGCTCCCAAACCAGCATTGATAAAGGCCAACAACTCCCTGTCAGTAAGAGGGTGTGAGAAGCAGCGCGAAAAAGAGTTCAGCTAATAGCGCTAACATCGACTATCAGTGGAGGGGACTACAGCTGAGGTAAAAAATAAAAAATAAAAAACACTTTATTCAGCGGCGAATGTCATGATCCAAGAGCAAGCTCTACCTGAGTCAGACCTACCAGCAACTTTCTCACAATACGCAGACAACACTACTGCCCATCAGAACGAGCGATCATCGGTGGAAGAAACCGTCCGTGTGTGTGAACCCGTTTCTCGGATGACAATTTGAATCTTAACGTGTCAAAAACTCAATAGTCAATACTTCACTGTGACCAAGGAAGATGATTCCTGGAAATCGGTGAAGCTGCTGGGGAGTATGCTAGGCACAGCAGAAGACATCGCAGCCAGAGTGTCTGCTGCCAATCGGGCATTTGCAAGCATTCCATGGAAACGCCACAACCTGAATTCCAGGCTGTGTATGTTTTCCTGCCTGATATTGCCTGTCTTGCTGTACAATTGTGCGCTTTGGACATAATAATTATTATTATCATGACATTCGGTGCTGAATAAAGTGTTTTTGTTTTTTTTAACCTCAGCTGAAGTCCCCTCCACTGATAGTCGATGTTTGCGCTATTAGCTGAGCTCTTTTTCGCGCTGCTTCTCGCACCCTCTTATTTACAGGGGAGTTGTTGGCTTTTATCAATGCTGGTTTGGGAACTTGCACACCATTGTTGAAGCAATTTGCCGAAACGTTGGAATGATTATGGTCAAATGAGTTGAACTATTGCAGTGTCAATGGAAGAGAGCGTGTAGGCTCTACTCTGAACTGTATCTTTTTTAAATAGAAGAAATCAGATGAAAACGCGGTATGAAACTTATGAAGCAACTATCCACGCATACTATGCACATTATCTTGTTAGAGTCGTAGATAGTTGCTTCATACATGTAACTCGTTTCCATGTGATTTATTCTGTTTTAAATACTTCAAGTACACGTATGTTCATGTAGGCGCGGAGCCATACCTGTCTAGAGAAGGGCAGGCACCTAAAACATTCCCGGAAAACGATCATCCCACAGCCCACACATGTCCAGTCTTTCCACTGTCTACCCACACCAAACGCAGATCGGCTATGCACTGTACATGTACATGTGCATGCCGTGTTTCTTATGACACTCTAACAGCATGACTGACAGCAACGAGAAGATGTCTTTTACTTGAAGTGTGTGTGTCACTTTTATCCGCAAAGTAATCATCACTGACCGGGATTCCCAGTAATCCAGGTAAATGCCAATGTGAAATAATGACAACAAGGAAATGCACGTCATGAGGGTAACCGGTGGGGGGTGGGGGGGGGGGGGTAAGCTGGTTTATGTTGACAATACTAGTATCTTAGGACTACGAATCCGCTTTAGGAAAGTGCAGTTATCTGGAGCCGGTATTTGTTTGGTGTATTTTATTCTATTTCACAAGAATGAACAGGCATTGCTGCCTTCCTGCCCGGAAAGGTTCATTGTTCCAGCTCTCAAAGAATGACGAAGATTGTATGATAATCTACATGTATATTAATTTTCCGAAGGACGTACCCAGAGTGCTGACAGTGCTCAACACCACAAAGGCAGAGCGTAGTACACAACAGAACAACAAGGACTTCAAGGAGCAGAAAACAAGCCTTGATTGTCCTTGTTGTTCTGTTGTGTATATTCATTTTCAAAATTTATTCGAATGGCCAATACAACATCGGCACGTGACTCGTGCCAATTGCATACTATTGTTTATAAAGCCGTGGGAATCCATATGGCTACTCAGTGTGATCCTGCAGCGTTGATCACACCTCTTACAATCTACATGTACATCTACAGTACAATATAGGAATCTTGTGAGTATGGTTTGGGAATGCAAAATCACCACACTGTTAGAATACTTTCTGGGGTTTTTAAAAATGACAAATATTCACTGTGCCATTGTCAATTGTTAAGCCCATGGATCCTTCCATGACTGACATGCGCACTGTAACAATTATTATTGTCAATCAAGATCTTCAAACTATTTCTTGTATGGATAAATTATAAGAATATTATATTGATAGTTCATTCCTCACATGTTCGAAAGCTTCTTTTGAACTTCGTGACATGATTTCGAGTGTACTAGCTACATGTTCAAGTAGATAGGATATATTATATTGAAAAAACTTGTTCACATTTAAAAACTTGTTCAGGACTTGATCAGAAAAATGGCATGTGCATGATGTGTGGCGTAAGTTGACTATAGTGAACTGGCACTCAATGGCAGATTGTATGATGAATGTAGTCTATGAGCAGCTTTGTCACTTAAACTTATTTGCGATGATCTGTTTGCATAGTGTGGTCGAGCCGTTCGTGGTGTTGCAGCCGGGTGCAACAGTTTCGTTTTGATGAATCTAGTCTGTGAGCAGCTTTGTCACTTAAACTTTTTGCGATGATCTGTTTGCATAGTGTGGTCGAGCCGTTCGTAGTGTTGCAGCCGGGTGCAACAGTTTCGTTCGCGTGTCCGTGCCGGTTGTGCGCCGACCATCAGCTAGGGTTGCAGTGTTGTCCACGAATCCACTATGGCCATTGAATGTTGGCTGTTCGAGCTGTGCTGGCTGGGCATGTTGCTGAGGACATTCAGATGTTTGAAAGTCGTTCTTCACATCCACGGGTGCAGTCATGGGTTGACCTAGGTGGTACTGATCGTACATATATGGTGGAACAGGTGCCCGATTGAAATATACGCTGGGATGGATGTTGCCAGACATTAGGTTGACAAGGCTAGATCAGAGAACTGAGGTCGTTGCATCATGCGAATTCTCTTCTCCTTAGATCTTTTATTCTGAAACCATACTTGCACCACTCTCTTCGTCAAGCCAGTTTCCTTGGCAACCCGTTCCTGAACATGTTTGGGGGGCTTGGGATTGCGTTGCAACGTGTTCATGAGTACGGAAAGCTGTTCTGGTTTGATGTGTATGCGAGGACCTCGTTCTTTGTTTGCTTCATCTGACCGAGATCTCTCCGAATTTTGAAGTCCAGGGGGGGCGCTGTCACTCACGGTGCGTATGTGTCCTTCGCTGGTTGTTTGGCCCTTTGGTGAAGCTGCTTCTGGTGATAATTCGAATTCCGCGTCGTTTGTGTGACCAGACCACAGATCTGCAATGCTCATACCCAACTGTGGCGTCTGGTGTTGAGGCAGAGATGATGACACATGCGTTGAGGAGTGTTGGTGCGATGTCGGACTTAACTCCAATGGGGGAGACATGAGCATGCCTACACAACATAATGCAGAACACAAAATTAATATGCAATAATAATTAATATGCAATAATAACGCGGACGTGTGATCCATGCACCATTATTGTAATGTTTCTCTTGTTTTTGTAGCAGAGGTGACTCTCATTCAGACGCATAGCCACCCAATCCGTCATGTAACCATGGCGTGAGATCAGATTCCACAACTGCGAAACGGGTGCTCAGCATCTAAGATGGAGCAATGGCACAGAAGACATGGAGCGATGGATAGAAATGTGTGATTTTTACACAAGTATAATTATATCTATCGTCAATGTCTTACTTTGTAAATCTTCTGTTGTAGCAGGCATTGTTGAATGAGGCACCACACCGGAATCTCCATCAGTGGCTGGTGTTGTTGTAGTACCACTGGCACACCAGAAGCATTTCATCACGGCGTTGGGCTGCAACAACATGGCGTCCGTTGCCGCTGGCCGCGTGTTACAAACTGCACACATGCGGCACTGCTGATTGTTGGCCATCTTGCCGAATGTCTGGCAGTACGAGCCACCAGTGATGTCCTTACTGCACAAGCTGCAGCTGTGAGGATTGGACCAGAAGGATATAATTATGAGAGACAAAATCGATTAACTAAATATCCTGGCAGATACAGCTACAATTGAGTGATTTTATTTGGTTACATGGTTGATATGGGTATATGGGTGATATCGTAGTTCTGATGTTTCATGATGTTTCATATCTGCATTTCCGTCTTTCCTAGGAGCCGTTTGTCACACCACTACCACCCGTCCCCTCTTCTTCCCGAAGCCTGCGCCCAATACGTTTGCATACACGCGTATCTAGCAGGCAGTACACAACATGACTGGTAGGATAACTTATCATGGACGATGATTGCTGTTTTCCGGGATGTACGTGACACATGTAATCATGCGGAACACTCTGCCGAACCGGAAAACTGAATATCTCTCGTCGTAACGTCTGTCAGGACTATACGGAATTCGTATTCACTACCTAATCACCTGTCCGGACATATTTTGACATCGCGGTACTTCACAGTTGGTTTCTGGTGTAGCGTCTCTCTCTCTCTCTCTCTCTCTCTCTCTCTCTCTCTCTCTCTCTCTCTCTCTCTCTCTCTCTCTCTCTCTCTCTCTCTCTCTCTCCCTGTCTCTCTCTCTCTCTCTCTCTCTCTCTCTCTCTCTCTCTCTCTCTCTCTCCCTCTCTTCTCTCTCTCTTTCTCTCTCTCTCTCAGTTCTTTCAGTTCTCTCTCTCCTCTATCTCTCTTTCTCTCCCTCTCTCTTCTCTCTCTCTTCTCTCTCTCTCTCTCTCTCTCTCTCTCTCTCTCTCTCTCTCTCTCTCTCTCTCTCTCTCTCTCTCTCTCTCTCTCTCTCAGTTATCTGGAGACGGTATTTGTTTGGTGTATTTTATTCTATTTCACAAGAATGAACAGGCATTGCTGCCTTCCTGCCCGGAAAGGTTGATTGTTCCAGCTCTCAAAGAATGACGAAGATTGTATGATAATCTACATGTATATTAATTTTCAAAATTTGTTCGAATGGCCAATTCAACATCGGCATGTGACCCGTACTAATTGCATACTATTGTTAATGAAGACGTGGGAACCCATATGGCTACACAGTGTGATCCTGCAGCGTTGATCACACTTCTTACAATGTAACATGTACAGTACATTATAGGATACTCGTGAGTATGGTTAAGGAATGCAAAATCACCACACTGTTAGAATACTTTCTGATGGTTTTAAAAATGACAAAATATTCACTGTGCCATTGTCAATTGTTAAGCCCATGGATCCTTCCATGAGTGACATGCGCACTGTAACAATAATTATTGTCAATCAAGATATATAACTGGTTGTTTTAGTGATTCTTATTATGTGACGATGTCCCACTGATGATAGTCACACGAAAACGTTCTGGAATTGTTTCATTTTAATTGTTTATACATGGTTATGAGTGCACAAATGATATTTTTCATTTCTATGTCAATCAAGATCTTCAAACTATTTCTTGTATGGATAAATTATAAGAATATGATATTGATAGTTCATTCCTCACATGTTCGAAAGCTTCTTTTGAACTTCGTGACATGATTTCGAGTGTACTAGCTACATGTTCAAGTAGATAGGATATATTATATTGAAAAAACTTGTTCACATTTCAAAACTTGTTCAGGACTTGATCAGAAAAATGGCATGTGTATGATATGTGGCGTAAGTTGACTATAGTGAACTGGCACTCAATGGCAGATTGTATGATGAATCTAGTCTGTGAGCAGCTTTGTCACTTAGACTTATTTGCGATGATCTGTTTGCATAGTGTGGTCTAACCGTTCGTGGTGTTGCAGCCGGGTGCAACAGTTTCGTTTTGATGAATCTAGTCTGTGAGCAGCTTTGTCACTTAAACTTATTTGCGATGATCTGTTTGCATAGTGTGGTCGAGCCGTTCGTGGTGTTGCAGCCGGGTGCAACAGTTTCGTTTGCGTGTCCTTGCCGGTGGTGCGCTGACCATCAGCTAGGGTTGCAGTGTTGTCCACGAATCCACTATGGCCATTGAATGTTGGCTGTTCGAGCTGTGCCGGCTGGGCATGTTGCTGAGGACATTCAGATGTTTGAAAGTCGTTCTTCACATCCACGGGTGCAGGCATGGGTTGACCTAGGTGGTACTGATCGTACATATATGGTGGAACAGCTGCCCGATTGAAATATACGCTGGGATGGATGTTGCCAGACATTAGGTTGTACAAGGCTAGATCGGAGAACTGAGGTCGTTGCATCATGCGAATTCTCTTCTCCTTAGATCTTTTATTCTGAAACCATACTTGCACCACTCTCTTCGTCAAACCAGTTTCCTTGGCAACCCTTTCCTGAACATGTTTGGGGGGCTTGGGATTGCGTTGAAACGTGTTCATGAGCACGGAAAGCTGTTCTGGTTTGATGTGTGTGCGAGGACCTCGTTCTTTGTTTGCTTCATCTGAACGAGATCTCTCCGAATTTTGAAGTCCAGGGGAGGCGCTGTCACTCACGGTGCGTATGTGTCCTTCGCTGGTTGTTTGGCCCTTTGGTGAAGCTGCTTCTGGTGATAAATCGAATTCCGCGTCGTGTGTGTGACCAGACCACAGATCTGCAATGCTCATACCCAACTGTGGCGTCTGGTGTTGAGGCAGAGATGATGACACATGCGTTGAGGAGTGTTGGTGCGATGTCGGACTTAACTCCAATGGCGGAGACATGAGCATGCCTACACAACATAATGCAGAACACAAAATTAATATGCAATAAAAATTAATGTGCAATAATAACGTGGACCTGTGATCCATGCACCATGATTGAAATTTTTTCTTGTTATTATACCAGAGGTGACTCTCATTCAGACGCATAGCGACCCATTGCATACATGTAGACATGGCGTGAGATCAGATTCCACAACTGCGAAACGGGTGCTCAAAGATGGAGCAATGACACACAAGACATGGAGCGATGGATAGAAATGTGTGATTTTTACACAAGTATAATTATATCTATCGTCAGTGTCTTACTTTGTAAATCTTCTGTTGTAGCAGGCATTGTTGAATGAGGCACCACACCGGAATCTCGCTCAGTGGCTGGTATTGTTGCAGTACCACTGGTACACCAGAAGCATTTCATCACGGCGTTGGGCTGCATAAACATGGCGTCCGTTGCCGCTGGCCGCGTGTTACACACTGCACACATGCAGCACTGCTGATGGATGGCGATATTGCCGAATGTCTGGCAGTACGAGCCACCAGTGATGTCTTTGCTGCACAAGCTGCAGCTGTGAGGATTGGACCAGAAGGAAATAATTATGGGACACAAAATCGATTAACTAAATATCCTGGCAGATACAGCTACAATTGAGTGATTTTATTCGGTTACATGGTTGATATGAGTATATGGTTGATATCGTAGTTCTGATGTTTCATGATGGTCCATATCTGCATTTCGGTCTTTCCTAGTAGCTGTTTGTCACACCACTAGCACCCGTCCCCTCTTCCTCCCGAAGCCTGCGCCCAATACGTTTGCATACACGCGTATCTAGCAGGCAGTACACAACATGACTGGTTGGATAACTTATCATGGACAATGATTGCTGTTTTCCGGGATGTACGTGACACATGTAATCATGCGGAACACTCTGCCGAACCGGAAAACTGAATATCTCTCGTCGTAACGTCTGTCAGGACTATACGGAATTCGTATTCACTACCTTATCACCTGTCAGGACATATTTTGACATCGCGGTACTTCACAGTTCGTTTCTGGTGTAGCGTCTCCCTTTCTATCTCTCTCTCTCTATCTCTCTCTCTCTCTCTCTCTCTCTCTCTCTCTCTCTCTCTCTCTCTCTTCTATCTCTCTTTCTTTCCCTCTCTCTTCTCTCTCTCTTTCTCTCTCTTTCTCTCTCTCAGTTCTCTCTCTCTCTCTCTCTCTCTCTCTCTCTCTCCCTCTTGTCAGTCATCTCGCCCCCTCCTCCTCCCCCCCCCCCCCCCCCATGGTGCTTGCTGTGTACGCCGATCCCGAGACATTTGGTGAGGGGAGTCCACCGCACCTCACCGGCGCAGCTCATGTAGCGCCTGCAAACCCATTGTGTTTTTTTGTTTTGTCTTTGTTTTGTTTCCCTTATTCCGTAGGTATGTGCACTGTGATAAAGAAATAGAAAAACGAATGCCCGATCTTGCAGTACAAACCCTCACCTCTTGTTGCATTGCGCAGGCGCCTTCACCACTAGTCCTTTGATTCCCATAGGTTCACTGATTGCCTGACCATTTTGCAGCAGTGGATTGGGCTGATCGAAGCCTGATTGGGAACTGGGTACACGTACATGTTGGGCATGTGTTTCAGACGTGGTAGAGGAGCTGTGTGAGACAGTAGCGTGGACACGGTGTTGTAATGCATGGCTGAGAGGCGCTGCACCTGTGTCGCTGGGACTCCAGCCGTGGCTCTGCCTTGCACCATGCGTCGCGCCATTTCTCAGTGATGATGTCGGCGGATTGTGCTTGGTTTGGCGAAGGTCTTGAAATGCATTCCCATGCTGATTATGCGTTCGCACACTACCCAGTTGTTGCCCATTTTCTGGAAACACAAAAAAGGAAGCACAAATAAAATTTGTTCCTAAGCATACTTTATAAAGTCAGAGTGGGTTTAGTTTCTACGTACAGGACAGTATGGTACGTTCGGGCCTGGTTGAAATCTGGCTTTGGAATTTTTTTTCGTTGCTATCAGGTTCAGGCTCATTTCCTCTGTGCTGCGCTGATGAGTCCACAAAGGACGAAACAGTTCTGTACGCAGATTGAGTACGTACAGTGCAGTATGGCAAGCGACTTCAGTGCGTATTGGAGGTGATGAAGCAGGCGCAAGCACGAACCTACACCGGCTATCGAACACATTTTTAAAGTGGAAAAGAGTGCACACATGTATGACTGGTACGAACAAAAAATTAATGCCAGGGCTTTGCATGCAGTATGACTTTTCCTGGAGTTTTCCGCCCTTGTCATAGTGGTGGTTGAGGATGGCAACTGAGATATCTAACGGTCACCAATACCATACATGTAGCTTGAAGTTCACAAATATGTTGAGGGTACTCATTTACAAATTGGTGGAAATCGACCTTAGCCCCGTCTAAAGTTGTTACTTCCGTTGCAAGTGCAATAGAAGTTGAAGAAACCCTGAACGACATTGAAGCGCTAGTTGTAAAGGGTTAGGTCAGTTATCCAGTGTTCTGCGTAACTGAATGCGTTGTTTCCACTTGCGATGGTTCTCGAAGTCTGCTCGAACCCTGCCCCAGCATTCCATGCACCTGTTTGGAATTGCACTTGCTTGCAATCGTGTAGAATGTTACGGCTGATGGATCACATTCTGTCTATATGGCCGCGTATCCTGTCGCTCTATGCGATCGATCAACTATCATAGCAGGGGCTCGGGAAGGCCTTGCATTCGCTAGCCTACACTCGCAGGCAAGATCACAAGACGCGCGCCCGGATCAGATCGAATAGAATCGCTTCTTGTGACACGATTCGATTGCATACACAGTTTGTAAAAACACGGAATGGCACAAACTAAAACCCTGCTGCTTCGCAATTTGTACCTACTTTGTTTCGTTTGCCCCTGTGTATGTGTTCGGCTACACGATGAGGCACAGCGGATGAGATTATTGCTGTTCTGCGCGCACGCTGCTCGTAGCGCAGATACTCACAATCGACTTTGAGATAAAAATTATTATACTGCCCATTCACGCATCCACTATTGCACACATCTCTATACTGGACATTTCAAGTACAATGTCTCTGCACTAAAGCTACATCTAAGTTGACAGGCTGTTGTGAGTCGGATGACAGCTGACATGTACGTCTTGGGGTCTGTTTCGCGGAAGTGCTGCCAAAGTGACAATGCTAGCTTGTCATGTAACACATTATTTTCAGAGTGTCTGTGGAGGCCTCGGACGGCTTGGTGAAAGCCCAGTGAAGGAACTTCCTTCAGATATTGAAGGAAAACAGAACGGCTGATGGCTCTACCCCGATCCCAAGCCCCTTTGGAAGCCATTACAATTCTTACCTTGGTAATGCCCGTCAGTCTGCCCGGCCAAATGGGGTGATATCGGTGTGTGTGGAGTGTTACCGATGGTTAAGTCCTGGCTGCCGTGAGAGTGATTCAAAGACAGTTGAGACGGGAACGGTGTGACATTACCAGTCGCATACTGCAAGTTCGAGTAACTATGACCGAGTGCCGAAATGTCAGCACTATCCAACAGCGATGATGCCGCACCTGTGCCTGAACTAGCATCGGTCAGGCTAAGCAATGAATTGGTTGTTGCCACTGAAGTTGAATTTCCCTGTGAGGCATACACTGGTGAGGCATGGTCACCCTCGAAGACACTATTCAATAGCTCTCTAGGCTGCATTTTTATCTGAAAAATAGAAATTTCTTCTCAAAGGGTAGAAGTAATAATTGAACACTTTCAGAGCACGATATTCGCACCGCCTCTAAAGCAGAACAATATCCTTCCTCCGCTCAGAACTCAGTACGCTTTCAGCTTTGTTCTGCAGTCAAAGTGCAATATAATCTTTCAAGTCTCTGATGTCAATTATTGGTCGTTTTCAAGTTGGTGCACAAAGTGACCATCATACCAACCCAAGATAGACTGAAAGAAACGAGCAGAGACGGGCAATATGAGACCTAGATTGGTGGCCGCGTCGAAATTTCTCGTTATTGAAACTTGAAATTATGCTTCTCCAATTGGTGCTGCCGTGCGGCGTCCACTGCCTCATATAGGTTATGTGATGTGGCAATGATGAGTGTGGCCACGGTGCGGGGTAGCCTGTCTAAACAACGCACGGTGGACCCGTGGCCTGTACTAGAACAGTGCGTTCTCTTTCCCGTTCATGATGCTAACCCGGCCTTGGAGTGTTACTGCTGGCGCTCCTGCTGCTGCTGATGCTACTGTTGCTGTTGCTCTGGGAGAAGGTGAAGGTAGATTCTTTTGTGATTTTCAAGTTCACAGAGTCAACGTCACCAGCAGAAGGAAAGTTGTTTGAGTTATGACGCAAGCGGCGGTGCTTAGGTATTGGCAATTTTCCGCGGGACCACCTTAGCCCTGCACTGGTTCGTGTAGGGTCCACTTAGACACTACACGTCCTATATCGCGCTTAGCTGCGCACAGACAAATCATGCCTTTTTCCAGGCCTGTGGAGTGTAAGATAAGTAATGTCAGCCCAGGTCATGCTTCTCCAAAATGCCTGTGACTGTGATCTTCTACTGCTATTCTCTGAGCAGTGTGTACTTCAAGTAGTATTTTAGTAATGTAGAGCTGTGCAAAGTTGGAGTGACATTTTATGCAGTCTGGGTGAAGGCGGAGAAGGCATTACTGTACAATGAATCATTGCGCGATCTCTGGGTGTAGGCGGGGAAGGCATTACAATGAATCATTGTGCGATCTCCCTGACTATACCACTGAGCAGTCTCATGGTTTGCCACAAGAGAAGCTCTTGTTACTACGCAGCAAGCACTCACGGAGTTGTGAACATTGGGACTGAGGTCGTTTGAGTACGGGTGATGCGGGGGGGGGGGGGATCTCTGCGAGAAAAACGCAGAAAGAATGGAACTTCCTCAGACAGTCACAGGAACACGCCTATGCATACCGAAGCTCGATCCGATGAGACAATAGATAATTGCCTATATTTCATATTCCGTATTTCCTATCCTGATGTGGTTGCGTCGTCTGTCAGACAATATCACGGAAACCCCTAGCATGACACTTTCTTATGATTATTCCATTACCTTGTACATATCACGCCTGTCAACGCTGTCTCGCTTCTGCTCGCAACAAACAGTGGAGTTGTACTAGCAACGGCTCCAAAGTACATGTATCTGGAGGGGGGGGGGGAGGTGAGTAGTGTTATGTGATTGTGTGGTGACATTCATCCACACGATGTGGTTTGATTTGGTGTGCACATAAGCAGACAGTGTTGAGCAGTGGGCGATTGCACCATACCCTTCGCTGACACCTGTATTAGCTACAGCATTGCAAGTGCAACTGATAAAAGATGACCGCGTCAAAAAAGTAAGCTCTGTGTGCTTCATACATTACCGATGCTGAGACAGTGGTAAAGAGGGAGTGTGAGTGTATGTGGGAGTGTGTGTGTGAGAGAGAGTGTGTGTGTGAGTGTATGTGGGAGTGTGTGTGTGAGAGAGAGAGTGTGTGTGCGTGTGGGTGTGTGTGTGCGTGCGTGCGCGTGACTGCGTGTGTGTGTGTGAGAGAGAGAGACAAAGAGAAAGGAAGTGAAAGTACATATAGTGTAGATGTACTCGTACGAACATGTACATGGTTATTGTAGCGAGGAATTTGATATCAAGTTCTCATCAAGTCTCTGTTCGATGGCACACCAATACATACCGGCCGCTCCTATCAAGTAGGATATGACATGGCTGTTAGCTGTCTCAGCATTCACTCGCTTCCTCAGAATACTTATGATTGCATTTGATGAGAGGCACCAAACCTGGACGGCTAATCGCAGTGGGGATGGGACGATACCAGATGCCTAAGAACATTTGTAATAATTGCAGACCTGGTGTTGGAATCGTTACCATGTTCCACGACACCAACAGCACCCATTCCAATTTATCACGGAATGAAGAGAGTCGAAGCGATAAAGTACCAATAACGATTACTCGAGTACAGCCAATGGTATCCAAGACACGTAATTTACGGCTGTGGTCGGGAGGCATAGCGGAGAAATTTCTTCGCAACAGAGAGCTACTAACTATTGCGTCGTAGCATCGCAACATTGTCAGCATCGCGGGGTAGGGGAGGGAAGAGCCTGTCCTGTGGGTCCTAATGGCAGGCTATGCATTCTTAGGTGCCGTAGAGTCGCAATCTTCACATCAATGATCCATATCACACAGGGCGAAAGATAATGCACGAAATCTGAAGAGCTTGTTCCACGCATATCTGACTGATGGTTGATGGTTTTCTTCTTTTTCGTATCTACTTGAGAGCAGGAGACCACTAAGAAACATGAGTTTGAACAGAAGCAAAAGCTTAATAGGAAGTGAGATACGAGGGCAGCTGGGTCAGTGAAGGAAAGAACAAACATTGAATGGCCCTCGGTTGGTACTAGAACATTCTACCTCTCCAGAAAGAACATGCATTGCTACCTTCTTGCTTAGCCCAGTGCATCTCGCAAACCCTCACCCAAAGATGGCGAAGAAAGGAAGGAGGAGTTACTACATGGTATTGTGAAGTAAGCAGGCATAGATTAAAGCAGCGGGTGGGAAGTATGAATAGGATTATATCTCTGGTGAATGCAAAGTAGGTTCAGTCTTGTCCTATGGTGAATAGAGTAAAGATACGGAGGGATGAACACTTAGGACGATTAAAACTGTCTATCATCTTTCGAGATATTGAGTAGATCATAACCGCTATGAATGGTCGTGGACCGAGCAAGAGGCTCCATCACACCGCTTTATGATGGGAGTTTACGTTGTTGTTGTCTTGTATGGACATCTTGGTTATGAAAGGGGCATATGATGACACAAATAACATATTTCCAAGTCTGTGTTCCTCTGCTGAAAGTATCGATGGCAGAGCTCTGAGGTTCATCCGACTGGTGACCATTGCTCCTGGGTTGTGCAGCGGGTACTGAATACTCAGTCACCTGTTCATGAGTGGGTACGGTAACACTATCCAATCGTATTTGTCCCTCCGACTCCCATCGGCATAAATGTGATGCCGATCATGCCCTTCCCAAGTTCCTTTTGCTTTCCTTACCCTTCACATGCATCACGTAAAACTTAGCATGCTCCGACACGTCTGCCTTGAACTAAATTGAATTGGTTTGTTCGCCTTCTATGTTTGTGTGTAACCCTTTTATTGATAAGACATTTGTTCATCTTTTGTAGAAACCATGGCAATGGTCTGACGGGAAGACGTTGTGACTTGTGCATTAGATGAAATAAAAATCACATGCGAAAGCATCATCATCATCATCATCATCATCATCGCCATGGCTTATTCTCGCCGCCATTCTAAGACGATCATAATATTATACTATGACGAGGTTCTGGAGAAGTCGAACTGTGATGGAAAAGATTTAGGGCCACTATCTTTCCAAAAATAACCATCGATTTGGACAAGATCTAAACCATCCTGGCTGACGGATATACAGTGTATCACCAATGCCAAGGTAATTTGTAGTGATTGAAAACAGGATACGTAACTATATTGAAAAGGATTTGGACACAAAAGTACAAGTGATCTAACCACTTGTGTAGTTTGTATTAATCGGAAGAGAGCCAGCTATAAATAAGACAGTTAGCAGTCTTCCAGTGTCCAGTAACGGGTTCAGAGTGAATCAATACGAAGCGTTGGAGTGAATGAGACCAGTCGATCCCCTTCGCCTCATCATTTTGATCCAAAGGGACTGCGCACCCGTCCACCATGACTCCCATCACTCTACATCATCTCAACTTTACCCAATGGAAATGGACTTCCTTCCGCTCACCCTCACAGGTCTCGGCCACACAGGAAGTACGTGTGTATTCTGAATGTATAATATTATGTATGACTGTGTTGAAGTTGAGAACATGACAAAGGATTTGCAGGCGTGTGATGTCTTTTGTCTGAGACTCAGTGAGAGGAAGTACTCGAGATAGATACAACGACATATTTATGTTTGTTGGAAGCGCGCAAGCAAGTCGGTACATTCCGCACTGGGACAGCATGCTAAATATCTCTCTGACATATCCTTGTCACAACACGATCCCGACCAAATCTGTCCAGTGCGTGGCCAGGCTATTTTGCTTGCTTGGACGTTAACGCCTACGCATTTTCCCCATTAAATGCACACCATGTCTCCAATACTATTACGTCTCCAATGCTTCACGCTGGCGGGCTAGATCTGCAAACTCCGTGAATTCTCCCGCCTTCTGTGTTCACAGTCCCATACTCCCCTTGGAATAGTCTGCACGGCGCTGCTGCTGCTGCTGCTGTTGTTGTAGTTGTTGTTGTTGTTGTTGTTGTTGTTGTTGTTGTTGTTGTTGTTGTTGTTGTTGTTGTTGTTGCTGCTGTTGCTGTTGTTGTTGTTGTTGTTGTTGTTGTTGTTGTTGTTGTTGTTGTTGTTGTTGTTGTTGTTGTTGTTGTTGTTGTTGTTGTTGTTGTTGTTGATGATGTTGTTGTTGTTGTTGTTGTTGTTGTTGTTGTTGTTGTTGTTGTTGTTGTTGTTGTTGTTGTTGTTGTTGTTGTTGTTGTTGTTGCTGCTGCTGTTGCTGCTGCTGCTGCTGCTACAGCAGCTACTGCTGTGGCTGTAGTTACAGCCCCTCTCGTTGTCAGGAAATGTTTGCTTGTGCTACTTCTCATCCAGTTGACTTCTTATTATGACTTTGTACGTTATAATTTTGTTGAGCTCCGGTTTTCCCGTTCATTCTAACTCAAGTGCAGTTTAGCGTGTATTGGCTTGTGATTTCCTTTCTTCTGTTTGCTTGGCATTTTATCGCTCCACAGGTACCCTCGGTCTCAGGTGCTCTCACATTTGTGCAATTGTTGATTTTGGTCCTGAATTGTCCTCCCTGTTGCTTTGCTACCGTCCTCCTCCTTCCTCCACCTTTTTTTTTCTTAATTGGCCTCATTATGGCATTCGCTTCCATGTAATTGGGCTTGTAGCCCGTGTGTACTTGCGAATTCAAATACAAATACACATACATACAATTGTACATGTAGTACATGTTGAGTGTAGAACGAAAATATAAAAGGACAAGTCTCTAATAATAGTACATGGCGGAATGATGTGATGGCCATTACCGGGGTACAGGTACCAGGATCCACCTTACTTCGTTTTTCTTACCCGTTTATCACCTTCGTGTCTTTCTACACTGTTTCTTACCATGGCTGGATGTATTTACAGCCTTACAGTATCATTATCACGAGTTGTTTGCCACCCAACTCAGGCAATCAATCTTCCCAGAAACTATAAAAGTACACGTCTCCAATACCAGTACAGTCTCCTTCTATAGTAGTAGAGGTCTAACCGCCTTTGAAAAAATAGATGTACTGTACATTTCGAAAAAGTGGTTGCGACTTCG